TCAGCATTAATAGGTGCACATCTCTACTCATCAAAAGACAGGTTTGAATTAAAACTTGGGAGTATCCTATCTAGTATTTGTATTTTTTGTATTAGATTTGATTATTTTGCCTGAGATGCTTCTTTCGAGGTGCCCTGAATTGCTCTCGCACTCCAAACACATGCTTGTAAAGTTTATTCTTAATTATTAATTGGATTTGTGGGTTCCCATGTTTGTTTGTCTCCGTTAGTAATGTGATGGACATGTTGTACATAGCTTTAAGTTTGCAGTCATTTGGGAAAGGTCCAAGCTCCTATAGTTATTCTGAACATGATAAAGTTGTTATTAATTGTGGATATGGATGGCAAACATATGTCAGGCTCCAAAGATAGAAATAAAGATTTAAAAGACATTGATTAGAAACAACTTTCATACGGTCTGACTTTCATGTAAGATCAGAATAACCATCCTTCAAGTGAAAAAGTCTGGTAATTATCTTTCCAACCATGAATAACACGGTTTTCTTATGCAATACCATTTTTCTTGATGGGATGGGACTATTGTGTGATCACAATAGTCAAACTATTAAAACTCAAGAGACAAGAAACTGAACACTGCTCAGCTTTTAGCTGTTCTGTAAACATTTTTAATATTGGTCCTTTCACTTCTGGTTAACTCAAATTATCTAAATGTCTGAGTAAACCATTCCTGAGCTGTGGTATTATTTGCTCAAATTCAAGACAAACATGCCTTTCTCCTGAGTTTTAGGAACTGTTTGTTCTTTACATGACAAATTGACAAAAACACTATGCATGGAAATTGGTCTTTTTGGCTTAAGACGCTTTTAAATTGTGCAAACACTATAATATACAGCAAATATTTGAAGGCTTGTAATATAACAACAGCATATTGCTTTTGTGAGACATAATGAAACCCATGTTCCTACCCATAAACCTGATAAAGAACTACCTCTGCTTATGGCCTCAGGTCTTTGCATTCTTGTGTATCTTTTGGATACCAGAATGAGTTGACAGTATTAAAGCAGCTTCAGCATAGCAGCAGTTTTTAACAAAATGATTGTAATGTTCAGAACCAGAAGTATGCACCACATTTATTATCCCAACTGAACTTCCTGCCCCCTTCTTCTTATTGACCTTTTCCCATGACTTTGTCTCTAAGCCATAATATCAAAGACAATATTTTATGTTTAGCCAGGATTTGTGGAAAAATCGAAAATGGAAATGCCTAAACCTGAACATCGCAGATAGGATGAAATATACCAATACACAACAGAAATGCAACATTGTTTTAATAATTCAATAATATAAAGATGTGTTTAAAGTGTTACTTATGTCAAAAAATTCTATTTTATACAGATGATATTGTTTGCCTCTTGATCACTGTTACTCGATGCTGTGCGTTTGACCGTATATTTTGATTCACATTTTGTACCACATTAAGATGGTGTTCAACTGATAAATACATATACATTATCTATTTATTTGTTGATATATGTCTGCCATGTGTTAGAAAACCTGGATATAGAGGTGTTGTTCTTGTCTCTAAGTCTTCAGCATGCAAGCCTCTACACTTTATAAACAGTAGAATCCAAAGAAAACCACATGAAAATATTAAAACATTGCACATGTGATTAACATCTTTCTGAAACAGTGATTACAACATTCTCATCAGGTGCAGAAACAAAGAATCCATTCTGACAAATTGATACAAAGATACATTTAGAACCAGCTTTGCCTCAGAAAATAGGCTGGAGACTATATGTTGCATCATGTGTACATTTAAGTCATATTTCTTTTCTCTATCTTTTGGTTTAAGACCAATTTCTCATTTTAATGAAAAGTAGCAAAACTTTTGGACATTTTACACAAATAAGAGGTGTATTATTCATTTGCGGAGGAATGACCTCGATATGCTTAGAAAAAATAAAACAATTGCTGTAACTAGGCATTTTTGGTGTTTGTGATAAACAAATCAGAAGAATATGTAATTTGAAGGAATCAATGTTGTACATTCAGATTGGTTAGATTTTATCTTCCTAGATCGCTTATCACAAAGAACAGCGTATGTAAATACTGAATTTTTAAAAAATATAACAAATTTTGTTTTCAAACTTAATTTTATGATATGGTAGAACTTCATAGATATGGTAGAACTTCAGCCTTATGAAATCAAATAGAAAAACATATATGCTGTTTAATGAAAATTAATTACAGGCAAGAAATTGTCTGTACACACAGATAAGCAGCCCAAAACTAATTTGGACTGTTTACGCTGCAACATCTTTCTTTATGCATAAGGCAGAAATTTAACCCTTTCATGCATGAATTATGATCATGTGCACGGCGTACGTTTTAATATTTCTTTCCAATGAAATACTGTATGTTACAATGTGAACATATTTTGACATTTGTTAACAGAATGCATAAACATGCATGCAGCTCTCATCCTATTCTAATATTCACAACTATTTTGTCCCTTTTCTCACTCCAGCTTATTCAAAGCCTTGATTAATTTTAGTCTATTTCAGCTCTCCTTTAACAGTTTATTATTGTGGGCATTTTTTTTTATTGCGTGATGCACCAGTGTCCACTTCAGGGGGCTATGTGCATTTAAAACATAGCAACTCATATATACACAAGAAAATTAATTTTGAATAACTGTCCATTGTGGTGACTGCTATCCGTGAAAGTTTCATATGTCTTCAGAGCCCCCTCCCTCCAACTCATTTTTAAATGAGACCTTAATTTTTTTTAAACAGATTAGATGTAACTTTACACCTTTTCCTGATTTAATACACAGAGATATCTGAATATGCCAATTAATCCACACAGCAATTTGTATCTGCTTGCCTGGCTGTAGTTGTTCAATGTCAACTATGCTCACACACTGCAAAACCATTCTTTGCATAATGGGCAGGTTGTAATGCCAATAATGGTTTAGACTAATTATTTAATCAGAATGGCGATATATGTATCATGCTGTACAGCATTAGAAGGTGTCTTTAAGGGAGAATTTCAGCTTTAGCCATGTTAAACTTTATTCCTTATCACTGGCTCTGTCAAATACTTCTGTGGGAGTTCACAGGGTTTGTTCTCTATGTAAGGCTGCTTTATGCAGTTTCAAATGGAAATGCTCAGTCAATGGTCTTGCTTTTTAATTTATTCATGGTTTACTTTAATTCTAGAAAATGGTGCATTCTTCCTTGCATCAGTCAGGTTCTCTGGGTGTTTTATCCCAATGGGCCTGTGACTGTCTGAGTTTGTTGTTCAGCTTGAAATGTATTAGTGTTGCATTGGGGGACGATCCTTCAAAGTTTATTTCACACGTGAGCTTTGTATTAAATGGGACGTTGTTGTTTTTATATCTTATTCTCCTCCTGCTTTTTTTCTTGACTTCCTTGCTGCTTTGATGAAATGCCTTGTCCGAATATACACAAGATGACTCTGTGTTCCCAATTCATCCTCAAATTGGAGGAGGGATGGAATCATATGTACTTTTGATCTCATCGCCTAAATGTCAGGTGATGGTTAGTGTGCATGAATGGACCAGTGTGTGTTTCATTTGACAAGAACTTTGTTTTTTCATATCCTCCACAAAAGGCCTCAAACAGCTATCTTTCTTTGTATTTCTGTTTTTCTTCCTGTAGTGGTCAGCTCCATTAAAATTATTTCTAAGTTGGAAAAGGAAGTATTCTTATCACACAGAGCATGCAGTAATCTAACAAGTGAAGAACACTTTGTTTACATCATGAGTGTGGGAAGATAGATGACCTGCAGACCACAGTGTTGCATCCTCCGCAGCTATATCCTCTCTGTTTTGCCAAATAACTTCATTTAACTCTGCCAAGTACATGCAATGCTTCCTGTGTTTCTTAGAGTTGACCTTGTTAAACTATTAGAATGAAATCTCATCACCACCAGCCAAACTGCACGTTTAAAAAATGTAGGTTTATGGCAGTGCAACAAGAAAGTTTGTTTTCTTTTACAATTGAAAGTTGTTCAAATTTGATCAAACAGTTTTGCCTGGCTCATAGCAGCATTAAATCTAGTTGCTGTGGGCAATACATAATCTTCTTTCAGTGTTATAACTCTGAAATATTTGTAAGTTTGTAGCTTGACACAGTGATTCTTACTTCTGTTTCTTTGTACTGTTTTAAGATGCTTTGCATCAGAAGTCTTCACATTCTGTGCATCGAGCTTGAAAATATTTTTTTCTAAATCAAACTGAGCCAGACGATTCGTTCTGAGATCTGACAAGGTTCAGAGTGCAAAGAGCCTGGGGATACTGTCTGCCAAAGCAGAATTTATCAGTACTTTGGGATAGGTAGGCTTTCATCTTAACCGCACCTTGTCATTCTGCATTATAACTGATGGAGTGTGCTCAGGTAGGTGGGGAAACAAGGAGGGTTAGATGAAAGTGACAGAGACAACATTTGTGAATTTGGCCTCTGCTCTTGTGTCAGCCAACTAAAAGCTAGACAAGGATGTAGCTTCTGTTTATATAAACAGTCATCGGAATGGGCAGAGTGTCTGCTATACATGGTATGTTTTCTGTCTAACAAAAAAGAGTTCATCAAGTTTGATAGTTCTACATTTTTCGTTGCTTTGCAATGTGTGAATACAATTCATATATATATATATATATATATATATATATATATAAAGTAATTGCCTCCTCAATGCTAATTAATTTCTTTGCAGTGTTTACTTTTTCAACACAATGAGCTGTTAAACCCATATAAAGCATTGTAATTGAATAAATGAAAACACTTCCCATGAAACATGAACAGTACAACAATTGAGTTGACATAATGAGCTCATTAATTTTTAGAACAATAGTCAAATATATTTGCAAATGTGTAAGTATTAGGTATAAAACTGACATCATATTAGATGGCATATTCTCATTAACCTTGTCTCTCGAAAGAATTGCTAGTTGTTCTTTTCAAACTTTTACAACTCTCAGAAATCAGCAAACAACTACAACTAATGAGTAGAAATATGCCATGTAGATTGATTTTTTGTGTGTATTCTCTCTTTGCTTCAGCACTGAAAGATGCTCGCTTTCAGCTGGTGAACTTCTCAGACAACGAGCTGCGGGTGTCACTGTCGAATGTCTCGCTGTCGGATGAGGGTCGATATGTTTGCCAGCTGTACACAGACCCCCCGCAGGAAGCCTACGCTGACATCACAGTGCTAAGTATACCAAAGCACAAAATACACACACAACTCTGTTTTGTTTTTTTTGTTTTTTTTCTAGGAAAAAGCCAAATGCTCTTAAACTGTGTTTCATTATGGAACACAATATACATTTATGTTTGACCACATTAGGGACAGATTCAAGCAAATAATGTTTTTACAGGTATTCTAAGTAATTTTTTATCATCCATCTTTCCATCATTTCATTTTCTTAAACACTTATTCCTAACGGGGTGGTGTGAGGGCTGGAGCCTATCACAAGTATAAGACGGGTTGGCGGCGTGGTAGACCCTGGACAGTCCACCATTATGTTTTATGATCTTGTGTTAAAATAATTAAATCTACAGTTTAGTTTACAGTATTATGTATTGGTTTGCTAAATTGCCTCATTGCAAGAGGGTTTCCCTGTTCCAATCCCTGCCAAACGTTTGATGTAGAGTTGACATGCTCTCCTCATGCATTTATGGGGAGATTTTAAAAAAGAGACATGTTTTTTTTGTGTTTTTTTTATTTGTTTTATTGGTTACTCTAAATTGCCCCTAGGAATGAATGTGAGTGTGTGGTTGTTTTGTCTCCATGTGGCCCTGTGATGGAATGGCAACCTGTCCAGGGTGTATCTCACCTCTCACCCAATGTCAGCTTGTATAGACCTCAGGAAGGCTGATCATCTATCTCACTGAGGTTATCAGTCTCAATCTTTCCCACGGGTAACCTGTTCCACCCAGATAATAAAGTCTTATTTTTTAAATGTCATTCTTTTTATTATTTTTTACTCATTTTTTACTCATTTTTGTTTCACAAAGTGTTTACATTGTCACTGGGACCTTACTCACCTAATATGAAAGACTTTACTTGTGTGTAAGAGAGATGAAGTTCAAGATAACGTCAGACATGACAGTTGATCAGTTAGTGTTAAAAAGTACAAACAATCACTATATCCCTATTGAGTCCTCAGATGATAAAACAGTTTTTATATTTTTAGACATACTGAGAAACTCTGGAAGTCAGCTGTCATCAATACTTTATGCCAACAAGTTTAAAGAAACGCATCACTCAGTTTTAGTGTCACTTAAAGTGCTCCCTTCCTTCATGACATCTAAACCAGACATGAATTAAACTTTTAAGTTTCAGTACATTTTATTCTATTTACATCCGGACTATTTATTTTACTGGAGTTTTTACATTTTTTATTTGTTGGCTACATTTATGCATAGTTCTTATTACATTTTTAATGAAAAACTGCTATGCATCTCATTTTAAGGGCATCAACTAGCCAGCACAATACCCTGTTGCTGATTAGTTATAAAATTCAGCTTAATTTGGCAGTAAACGTTTATGACCATTCACCTTGTAAAGTGTTCCTGCCTTCAAAGTTATAAATGTATTTTTATTCTGATGTGTTTACCGAGATTTGTTTGTGTGTCCTGTCGCAGTTCCTCCAGGTAACCCCATCATTGAGACACGGGATGAGGTCCTGAGTGAGGGCAATGAGACAGAGATGACCTGCACTGCCATGAGCAGTAAGCCCGCTGCTATGATCAGATGGATGAAGGGAGATAAAGAGCTCCCAGGTAGGCACCGAGAAAAAAACATGATCATCAATCAAGACCTGTGGTCTCTTAGCACATTCGCATTAATACTTACTAAGTACTGAAAATAAAGCAAATATCCATGTAACTGCATACATTTGGGTAGCATTTTTTGTTTCCTAAACTTTGCAAAAATAATCCAGCTCCATCATCCCTAAAACAAGCATTGAAAGTAAAATATGAGGACCTAAAAGCTTGGAGACAAACAGAAAATGGAAAGCCACCTATCAGTGGTTCTGATTGATCCCACTTATGTTTTGCTATCTTTATTCTTAAGACACCAGACTTTTTTTTTTCAGAAGTCATCGTCACATCAAAACGTTGCTCAATCGTTACATTTAAGTAATGTGCTTATGCATGCTTTTTAAATCTTACGTGTTCTCCTTTGAGAGAAAACTCTAAATAAAAATAGTGAAATGAACTTAGTTAATTAATCTGTGTATGTTTCCTTGTAATTCAAAGCACTGATATAATCTGTCAGCACAGTCCTTTTTAAAAGAGAGGAGGCAACTTTTTGTTTTCGTATTTGTTTTCCAAAAACTACTTTTCTTACTCCCCAACTTTTTCTTCTTTTTTATTTTTTAAAAATATTGAAGCCAAATTCACACTTCACATAGTGTAGTAGTTGTGTAGTACTGTATTAAATGCATTGTGGCTATTGAATGCATATCCCCATGCAACATATAACACTTAAGAATGACTGGCTCTATGTAGTTACAGCAGGTATTAATGCCCTATTTTTTTACGATCCAGTCTGACTTTGAGATGATTCCTTTAAAGAACTGTATGTGCAGAGGTAGCAGAACATGTTGGCACACTGCTAGCTTGCATAGCTTCATCAAAGGTAACTGAGCTTTAGAAGTCAATGCAGAGCTCAGGGGTGAACAGGCCTCCTGCCAGGCAGCTATGCCTCTGAGCTCAGGCTACAAACCTTGTAAAGACTATCAGACAAAGGTCCCAATGAGAAGTTGTGTTGAGGACCCTGGAGCAGCTTCACCTCTGCACTGCAGCATATTAAACCCTGACCGTTCAGCTTATATCTGAGAATCGTTGAAGGTGTTTAGGTCAGGATTGGCCAGTAGCAGGTTTTAACATCACAAAAATTGCTCAGGAGTTTAATCACATTATTTTAACTACTCAATAATGGCTACAGACAAATATTCACTGTTGAATAGCAAAATGTTATTTGTTCTATGATCACACTCCAGCCTTTTAACCTTAAAGATATATACAGTCATGGCCAAAAGTTTTGAGAATGATTCAAATGTTAATATTTACAAAGTCTACTGCTTCAGTTTTTATAACGGCAATTTGCATATACTCCAGAATGTTAAAAAGAGTGTTCAGCATAACATCAATTAATTGCAAAGTCAATATTTGCCTAGAAAATGAACTTTATCCCCCAAAACACATTTCAACATCATTGTTGCCGAAATGGCTCCAGGGCGCCCAAGAAAGACCAGCAAGCGCCAGGACCGTCTCTTAAAAGTGTTTGATCTGCGGGATTGGCTAGCAGAAGTGCAGAGCTAGCTCAGGAATGGCAGCAGGCAGGTGTGAGTGCATCTGCACGCACTGTGAGGCCGAGACTCTTGGAGCAAGGCCTGGTCTCAAGGAGGGCAGCAAAGAAGCCACTTCTCTCCAGGAAAAACATCAGGGACAGACTAATATTCTGAAAAAGGTACAGGGGGCGGACTGCTGAGGACTGGGGTAAAGTCATTTTCTCTGATGAACCCCCTTTCCCGTAGTTTGGGACATCTGGAAAACGGCTTGTTTGGAGAAGACGAGGTGCGCACTACCACTAGTCTTGTCTCATGCCAACTGTAAAGCATCCTGAAACCATTCATGTGTGGGGTTGCCTCTCAGTCAAGGGAGTCAGCTCTCTCACAGTCTTACCTTAAAAACACAGCCATGAATAAAGAATGGTACCAGAATGTCCTCCGAGAGCAACTTCTCCCAACCGTCCAAGAGCAGTTTGGTGATGAACAAGGCCTTTTCCAGCATGATGGAGCACCTTGCCATAAAGCAAAGGTGATATCTAACTGGTTTAGGGAAAAAAACTTAGAGATTTTGGGTCCATGGGCTGGAAACTCCCCTGATCTTAATCCCATTGAAAACTAATGGTCGATCATCAAGAGACGGGTGGAAAAACAAAAACCTAGGAATTCTGACAAAATTCAAGCATTGATTGTATTTCTGTATGTGATGACAACATCTGATATACACACATGAAAACCAGAGGGCAGCAGATCATGTCTAAATATAATATTTGTGTCATTCTCAATACTTTTGGCCATGACTGTACATCTGTTCCACTGTTGATCAAACGGGTTCTTCTCTAAGCATCCTTTACTGATTACACAAAATGTGTTTAAGAAATGTAGACATTGAAAAACCTGAAATTTAAACACGAGACCTATCTATCATAACAATTGTTTTACATGCAGACAGAGCTGAAATATCATACTTAGCCTAAACATATGAGCTGATGAATGATATCAATGTACGATGACCATATCAAACTATATTGAGCTTGTAAAATTCCTAGTTTAAAATAATGGTAGGTTAACATGTTAAGGTTTTCACTTTTATCTCAAATCGATGGGAACTTTGCAATATTTTGATTATTTCTGTGGGAAAACTTCCTTCTCAAACTGCATCCTTAGAGCCTTTTACCCATAATAGAGTATTTAACTTATTTGGCATGTAGTTCAAATTTAATTTGAATACTGTGAGCACAGTTGGCTCTACACAGGTCTGCTGCAGTATGAATAGGGCAGATTTATATTTACCAGGAGCGGTGCATCTCTATATTTGATGATTTGATTCGCTTCAGACCTAAAATGATCTCTTTCTGAAAGCCAAATACACACTCACACATTAAATATGTGAGTGTTCCATGCTCTATAACAATGGGAATGTTTGTATTAATTCATTTGTATATAAGATATACAGTACATGTATGTCATTTATGATGTAATTTTCATGGTTTGCAAGTACCTCTCTTTATTCATAAATATTCAACTATCTCAAAGATCAATTTCATTTTTTCAAGTTATATTATTATTGACAAATTGTGCTGTGTCACTTTTACTTTATTTTCATAGTCAATTTGTTTAAATGAGCCTTTGCTCAGAGTGGGAGAACTAGATTTGTATAATGCTAAATGCCTTTCAACCAAACACCTGTATTGTTCTTTCACAATTGTTTAGAATGATTTGGCTGTTCCAGAGTGGAGCTAGCACTCGTAGTTCTTTATCTGATTGATGCAGTTTTTTGCAAGAACAAAATATGTGTGGTACTTATCCACTTACTTGCCATAACATTGCCTTTTGAGCAAGCCATTTGCTGAAATGGCCAATTGCAAGTACAAATTCTTTAATAGAACTGATCTTTATTTATGTACAACTTTCCAGCTGCAACAATATTTTCATGTTTTTTTTTTTTCATCATTCTGTAAATGTTGGCAGCAAATGACTGTTAAGCATTTTTTTTCAGTGGTATTGCTGTGTTTCTCGTGAAAATATTCTTGGCTGTCCATACTCACTCGTTCATTCACTCATAATACAGTGATCACTACAGGGAAGTGTCAATAGGATTAGCCAGCTTCTGTGTTTTTTTCAGTTGCTACATACTGCATTTGTGGTTCATTGTATGGGATTGCACATTGTGTGTTTTGGCTATTAGCTTATTGGTGCATTATAATTCTTCTTCACTGCACAAATTTTTCTTTAAAGCAAGATTAATGAGGGCACTACCTTTCGTTCTGATCTGCTGATTTGAAATCAAGAGGACAAAATCCATCCAGACATTTCTCTCAGCAATATTAGAATTTTTTTTTATGTAAATAAATTATTAAAACAGAATGTTGAGTCTTAAATATCACATGCAAGAAAAACATGACTGTGGCATTTGGACAACTCCACCTACAGCAACAGAGGACGGTTCTAATGTGTGTGATTTTTTTCTTCTCTTTTTCCGAATACTGAAGAATTTTCTGAACAGTATTTGTCAGGATAATTTGTTTTGATTGTTGTAAGACTAAATGTCATTTAGATTTGCATGAAGAAAACATGTTTTGCCATTCCTCTTTCATAGAGTTTTAAGAATATCCCCGTCAAGGCATATTTAGAAGAATACTTAAAAGTGTTATTATTTTACGAAAAATCAGAATCAGAATCAGAATCAGAAATACTTTAATAATCCCAGAGGGAAATTATTTTTGTTACAGGCTCCATAAGCAAAATAAAACAAAGGCATATACATATGTACATGTCTATACATATATACATATATATATACAAAATTCCTCATAAATATAGCTAGATATATACATAAGAAACAATATGTGTATATGTAGGTCAAAATGAGAGGTGGATAGTGTCAATGATTAAGATTGACTCTCAGAGGGAAGCGTTGTACAGATTGATGACCACCGGCAAGAAGGATTTCCGGTGGCGCTCTGTGGTGCATTTGGGTGAGAGGAGTCTTCTGCTGAAGGAGCTCCTCTGTTGGGCCAGTGTGTCGTAGAGGGGGTGAGACACATTGTCCATGATGGACTTAAGCCTGGACAGCATCCTCCTCTCTGCCACGGTCGACAGAGTGTCCAGCTCCTCCCCTACAACATCACCCGCCTTCTTGATCAGTTTATTTAGTCTGTTGCTGTCTGTGATCCTCAGGCATGAAATCAGCATGATATGAGATCTGCGTATATATATTATTACATATTTTAGAGTCCCTCTGTCAATGTTGTTGTTCCTTACATTGATATATTTAAAAGGTGAGCTGAATTGTAATTTCGCCAACATAATTACTTTTTAAACAGGGAAGTTTCAAATATCATGTATAGATATATATATAGAATATATAAAAAGTACTTTCTTAAGGCCACGGTCTCGGGCAAAAGGAGAGACTAATTGCTATCTGAGGACTAACGTTTGCTAACCAAAGATTCTCGTCAGATAGAATGCCCACAATAGATAGTAAGGTGTAAACTAAGTTAAGAGGTGCAATTAAATTAAAGATAAGTACAAAAGGAATGACTTACTATGCCAGAGCTCTGGCGCAAGGGAGGAATAACTCATCTTGCCTTAAGCTGTATCTCCTAGCAGACTTATTTATATATTTATTAAAATAGAATGTCCCTGGAATTCATCTTAAATACATTAAAATATTATCACATTCTATTAAATATCAGTTAAAGATTACAATTGTCATGCTTGCCTGTGTAAATCCCACCATTTCTCTAATACGCACAAACCCATTATCTTACTTTTATCTGTCTCCTGCTGGTCTTTGCCTACTTGCGTTGTAATTTATTAGCATGTTTTTTTTTTTAACCAACACTGTCTTCAATTTGGTAGCCAACAATACGGTGGATGTTGTTCACCAAGGCATTCTTGTGTGCATGTTGTCTGTGTCTTCTTTTAAGGTTAACAAAAATAATGCCAAATGAAGCAGCTTGCAGGTCATTTTATTGACAGACATAAAGCAGCCATTAGCCTGATGTGCTAAGAGACAGCCACATGGTGATTTCAATTATTCTACTTTGCCCCAGCAGGGACTATGGAAAAAAAGGAATGAAGAATATTTGGATTACATGGGACTGGGGAGGCACATAATACATTTTACATACCAACGCACTGTTCGTTTTTCTGTTTCATTAACTGGCAATAAATTCCAATAAACCAAAGTTGTGGGTCACAGGAAATGAAAACCAACTGTGAGGATATGCTCACATCCTGTTGGCCCCTCAAAATGGCATTCTTTCATTTGAACGAGCGCTAGCTTTAGTTATGTTCATCTCAACATGCACAACTCAAAATCATTCTCCCTGAATGATTTCAGCCTTGAACAGAGCCAAGTATTTCCATACAGAGGACCATCACAAATTCACCATCATCATTACTTTTTCAAGGACATTTGAAATGCTGTTCATCTCATGGTGTTTGAACAACTTCTAGTTTTGTCTCCCAGAGAATCGGAAACATTATGAAGAGCCAGTAGTGGCATTATAAAGTCAGCCCATTCTATTTTAGTTTATAATTGTTGTTTTTTAAAAGGGATACCATTTAAAAAAATACATATTTGAAATCATCTGAAGCATAAACATATTTGGAAAAAACTTTATATTTATTGTTTGACAGCTTGGAGATGTAGAAATGTTTAATCATATTATGTATACTAGATTTCTATAATAAACCTATATCTAGCATATCAGTAAATACTAGAAAATGTGTAATAATAAACACTTGTGAAGCCTTCAGTAATAATGTGATGTAAACATTATCTGATCTGATGTTTTTAGGCTCGCATGGTGTTATGGAGGAATCTAGTTCCTTTTTTCTCTGCATTTCTTCAGTGTATTAAGCCGGTATAATTAGTTGATGCACTGCTCTCTTCAGGTCCCTCCAAAGCATTACAGCCAGGCTGAGTTTGAAGTACTACTGATTCTTTTATTTTTTAGACAATCTGTTATAGATTTTATGATGTGTTTGGGATCTTTGTCCCATTGATAACTCAATTCCAGCCAGCTTTAGTTTTTTGGTGACCAAGAGGAGTTCATGGTGGACTCAATATCTGACTCAACAAAGAGGTTCAGGTCACAGGCTGGAGAACCAGTCCAAAGCATCAGCATATGATATTTTCAGCAAAAACAATAGCCTCTTGTTGATGTCATTGCTTTTTGAAATTGTGGTAACACACAACTGAATGCTGCAAAACAACAAAACCCCATTGACTTGATAGTCAGTCAATGATTGTACTTGTGTTTTGCATTGCTTTTATATTCAGTGTATTTTGATTCATTTGATATGTAGTTTCTATGACTATACTATGGTTACTGTGTGGGCACACCATACCTCTTCTGCTCTGTTACATTACATTTAGTGGTTTGTAAAGCAGCTCTGGTAAAGCTATAAAGCCAAACATAAATTACCTGTGAAACTGCTTCAGCTTCCATTATAGCCTGGAGCACATTAAAAAGATGTCCAGTATATTATTAATTTCATTGCATTCTTCTAGCTCATCAAGGCCGACATACGTTAATCCCATGCTTATTCCTATTCCTCAAGGCATCCAAGATCAATTTTGTTGTGCAAATGTGCACCACAGACCACTTGGTTTAGCCAGTTAATATCTTTTGGCAATTATTTCTTATTTTTTTAAGGTCCTGCTACACCAGATGTTGTACTTCTCCATGAAAGAACCATGGTTTGCAGGCAGTGAAAACTTTGATCTTAGATTAATATTTTTATTTACTGTCATATATTCAAAGTTACTGAATTAATGTAACCCAGCATACAATCGTAAGTTTTTGCTTTCAGAGAGCTGATGAATAGCATGCCTCTTTACAATCTCCTTAGTAATCCCAGCTAAAATGTAAGGATCTAAAAACGAGAATCAGTTTGTATAGCTATTGTACAACGAGATTACAATCGTTTTCATGGATGGTTGGGTTATGTCATTGACTGAAATGCCCAGAGCATGCATCTAATAAGTCATATACTCCAAAAAAGAAATGAAGGCACAATAGCTGGAATATATGTACAAGGACAATGTTTTTATGGAGAGTTTGTGCTAAAGTTTTGTGGCATCCTAATGCTACTTTGTGCAGGAACTCACTTTCCTCTCTCCATTTTGTTGACTTGTATAGAAAAAACTTCCACAAACTACTTTGTTTTAAAATACCTACCGTAGTCATATAGGATTTGGCCTCTGGGAATACTTAATTGCACATAACTAGAACAAGATGGTATCCTTCAAGCTTTTCTTTTTTTATTACTTCAGTGATGACAGATGGTAGAAAAGGTGGGATACGCAGAAAATTAGTTGGCAGCTCATTAATCACCTCAATAATCGTACTATTTATGCTAATTACATTTTATTCTCAGATATTTTTGCACTTGCCATTGTGAATCATCCCAAACCTATTGACAACAAATTTTTCTCTGTGTTGTTGTTGTTTTTTTTTTTTTTTTTTTTTTTTTTTTTTTGGGCTGCATGTATCTGAAACTTTTAGTGGTATTCATTTATGAAAGCACGTTCCTTTACACAAGTCACATCATACAGCATCGAAAGAGACAAATGTCACAGTGATGGCGTCGCCTTTGTAGTTGAGCTGCAGTAGAGGATTGGGTAGTAAGCACACAGTGCCGAAATATGAACTGACTGATCTACCTGTTTATTTTAGCACACATTTTCCCACAGCATTTCTTTTACCAGACAATCCCTCTCTCACAACTGTGTGTTTGATTGATGTAAGGCAAATAATAGAAAGTGGGGCAGAGGGATAAAGATATCTAATGCTGTGTGGTGACTGTGCTGAGCAGGGCTGTCGTTGTTTTGTATGGTTGTAATGAGGCTGACGTCTGTCTTGTATCCGTTAACATACTGTATTCCTGATAGCCACTTAGCCATGACATTATGCAAGCATCTGATTTGCTAGTTATACAGAAAGAAATCTACATCATAAATCAAAAAGCCTGACAATGGACTCAGATAGCACTCAGTATTCTCAGGCAGCAGTTTTTTGCAGATTCACCTTCTCTGAATGGCTCTCCCTACTTCCATGTAAAGCATAAATATTAATCTAACATTGATGACTTCGTCAGGCTTTTCAGTATTTCGAACAATTTTATAGTGGTACTTGTGAGCTTAAAGCTTTGTTCAATTTGTTTTGTAAAGTAAAACCTTGTTGATTGGCCATTTGACAAAAACTATAATTTACAAATGTACTTAAACATTATTAAAGGATGCAGAAGAAAGAAGACATTTTGCATTAAATTCATCAAGCATAACATTAAATGAATATGTATTCAACCATTAATAAGAAATAACGCAGCTGATAAGTTTTAGTACAATATATATTTGAATATCATCAAGCTGTGCTGTATTAATTTTAAAACTAGTTCTAACTCAGGATTAATAAATCCTAAATTAAGGACCAGTGAAGATCAAAGGGTCCCCCCCTCGCATGGCTTTGTTTAAGTTAACTTTTTGTCTGTTGTCTTATTTTTGCTCCCTCAGGGAAACCCAAGGTTGAGTTGACCTATGATAAGATGTACACAGTTACCAGCCGGGTGATGTTCACTGTTGGTAAAGAGGATGATGGTGTACCTGTGGTGTGCATCGTTGACCACCCTGCTGTCAAGGACTTCCGAGCACAGAAATACCTGGAGGTGCAATGTAAGTATTTCTGCTTTGCATTTTGTTTCAGTTGTCGTTGACTAAAGTAAGAAATTACCAAGACTATTGACCATGTCTGTCATTTATTATATAAACTATTAAATGCTTCCAAATAAATTTCTTTAGGTTATTTCATTCATCATTTTTGGCTGCTTCGTTGTGCCCAAAAATTGCATAATAAGATCCGTTTTTCAGTATGGCTATATTATAGTATGTTAACTAATTATTTTTTAAATTTCTTTTTCTTAAAATTTCAAACACTGTAGAGAGTAAAGGGGTCCATCTCTAACAGTTATTTATTTGGATAAATTGCTCATATTTGCCTGAGTAAAAATTTGATACACAACATGTATGGCAGTCACAATAACAGGAAATACCCTTGATCACATTATTTAATAATAATAAAATCTGAACTGGACTGGAGGAAAGTAGACTGCAAAATCACATCAGATTCACACATTTTTCCTCCAATGAAACTTAAGTGCATGCCTTTTTGATTAGCAAGAAATGATCTAAGTCAATCATGGGGGAGGATTAGAAATGAATGGTTATGAAAATAACAGGATACGGTTTGGCCAGAAAATATTGTGTTTTTCTTTTTTTTTCTTTTTCCTTTTTTGTGAAGCATAATTATCTGACCAGGTGGGTGTATGGGGTTAGCGTACCCTTTTGATTTCATGAAGCAAGAGATCCTTCTGTCCTGCATTTGCATTATTGTCAGATGTGACAACAGCTCTGCGGTTCATATTAAGAGCTTCCAGGCTTCATGCTTCCTTTGTTGTGACACAGATGCAAAGAAAACACAACTGACACGGCAGATGTGCAAAATGTAATAAAGAATAAATATATCAGGGTGCATTTTCTTGGCTGCCCCGTGACCAACACAAGCTCCGTGCAGACTTTATTTCCCCAACAGTATATTTGCTCGGCCTCTCCTTAGGAGCATACAGTGCTGAGCGCACAGGAAGTCTAAGTAGATGCTCTCATAATTGAATGTGTACTGAAGATTTGCTGTGTGCAACTTATTCTTACACTTCATGAAGAGGCAAACACCTGAGCACTATTGTTGGATTGTATGCTGTAACAAGACCATTCATGGATTGAGTAGATTTATGACAGATCAGAATCAAAAATACTTCAATAATCCCAGAGGGAAATTATTTAAGATATCATCTTTTTAAAAATTGAGTCAAAACATTTACCATCGTCAGGGCTGCAGATTTGTTGATCTTTTGTACAGATTGAGAACATGTACAATTGGAAGAGATTACAATTCTTGAACTGAAACTCACCACTTTGAGTATTACAACATGTTAGACTATACAAGTTCTGCGTATCATTCAATATTCTGTGATTCTTTTATAAAGGTTCAGGCCCTCCTCTTAACTTGTTTTCCAAACAGACATACATTCAAATTTAGGTTTACTTACAAGACAAATGCATTTCAAAGACATGCCTCTGGACAAATTCTATTTGTTTTGTTTTTTGTAGAAATGATGGATTACCCAATAACATAACTTAATAAAGCTTATTTTTGCTCGCTTTAAATGAAGTGACAGTGAAACTCACCTCTTAATATTTTCTTCTTATCCTACTTCTGCCATGCTCATCTGTGTATAGGCTCAGGAGTAGTATTAATTGCATTGATGAAAGTAAATTCAACCTGAACCGGAACAACAAGAGGAGAACGGTATTGGGAGGCTTTGGAGCAGCTCATGGTGTAGAGTATACATCAGTAAAACATGTGGAGGCATTGTAATTGCATTTTCAGGCATGGCTTTAACTGGGACTTGGTCATGATTATTTACTGAAGACGTGACAAATGACAAAAGTACATGAAGGGAGACACCAATGTCACCCTATTAATTCTACAAGACAACATTAACTTTTTATCTACCAGCTAATTGGAGTGTTAGGCCTTCGAAATTAAGAATTGGGATCGTATTAACACAGAATTATTTCTCATTTTAAAGTCTCTTTAACCTTGCATCTTTGGCCTCTGGCATGTCCTAGCATTCTATTTAAAAATAAAATTCCTTCTGTAGCTATCTGACCTTTCCATGTGAGCGTGGGAGGCAGAGATCAGTGCATCTACAGAGGCAGCATGGCATTTTGTTGGCCTCTGATAACACGGGGCTCATAAAACCAGCAGCTCAGTGCCTCACAGTGCCTCATGCAGCGAGCTCCTGCTGTCATGTACTTACTGGCATGTGCGGAAAATAGGCACAGACAGTCCTGCACTCTCTATGAACTAACAGGTACATAATAGATGTAGATGTAGAAGTTGCTTACAGTATGTTTAGATGATCACCAAATGCTAAATTTCTAAATCTCGCTAACTATATCTTAGTTACTTTTCTGTTCTCCACCTTAACACTGGTATGATCCATGCTTCATAGATAGTAACGTGGCTGGTTCCAAATCTAAAATACTGAGAGATCCACACTGGAGTTTATCACAATTAAGAAAATGGCTTCAAGTAAGAATGGATCCAATTTAATTCAGATTTACAGGAATAAAAATAAAATGGGACAGTACTGTTTATAGTTTTGAAAAAAAAAACATACTGGAAACAAAACTCATAAAGCGTATTTGAACAAAAAGTTAAATTCATGTTTAGGAGTCGTTTGTTTTGCTACCTTGTTGTTTTTCCATAAGGTCAACCCGTTGCACGGAGATGGATATTCCTGTCTCGAGTGCTTATGAGTTGAGGCACGCAATAGAGAAAATAATTCATTTAGCATAATGATAACGGCTTTTATGCACATGGTAGACACCATCTCATTTCCACCAAAGTGGGAGTATTTGAACCAGGCAGTGTTTTCTCATCATACATAAACTAGAAAGCTTCAATATAACTACCTGAGGCTATCAAAATGACCCACAGAAGCTTAGCGTCCCCTGTCTTTATGGCTCCTAGAGAACAAGGTCAGATGACATTCTGAGCAAAGAAAAAGGTTGCAGGTTGCCTGAAGTGGAAATAAAGCCAAAGGGCTTCTGTCTAAATCCATGCATGCCCACTGAGTAGAAGACTTGGCTGTTTGCCCATCTGCTGTCCATCACCAAAGCGGAAAGCCAGCCCCTGACAGGGTGTGATTTAGACAGATGGACGACCAGACATGTGTTGTTTATTGCTGAGAAGGTCGAACAACAGTGTAGAACTTTATGCCTGCTTTCGAAATCACAACTCTCACAAAATCGCTCCGTCAGGCTGAGTAAAAATGCATGCAACGGTACATTTAAGCCGTTACATAAACCTGGGAAGAGAACAAGAAAAACTGACATCACAATTGAAAAGCTGTAATTCCGCTGTTCTGCAATAATCTGGTGAGAAATGAGTCACCTCTAGAAATATTTCTCCCTTGCTTTCATTAAATTATGAATGTTTGTCTTAAGATAAATCACTTTGCATATGTGCAATGAAGATTATTGTTAATCATCGTAAAATTAATAAATGGTTCCTTTAATGTGTCTCAGGAGAGTGGACACAATAAACTAAACAAAAAGAGACTGTATAAGCACCCCTCCAGTGTATCAAAGCAACATACTGATTATTTTCTCTGGTGTTTTTGTTTGGATTCTCCTAACAAATAGCACAAGGAGGGTCTAGACCTGAAAACTGCCTAATCTTATAAAGTATAGACAGCAACAACTTGAATTCACTTTCAGTTTTAAGTCACACCCACCTTGACTGAACTTGTGGATCATGTAGCTTTCTGCTTTTGTCAGTAATGGTACCTTTTATATAAAGGTTTGACCTTTTAGGACACACAAATGAAACTACATATAGCTGCCATTTATCTTTTTGCATCTGCTGTTGTTGTCATCCCAAACTCTTTATGAAATTTCCTTCCCCTTAGGTTTTTAAAAACAGCGGCTATATTCCTGAAAGTTTAACCATCATGGAAAGCTCACACTGACATTTCCCTGTTCAGCATTAACCACTCAGCTGTTTAACCCCCTAAAGGAGGTGACAATTCCAACAGAAATGCAATTTTAGTGGGGTATTTTAGGAAAATGTTTACATTTATTGAGTCCGATGAAATTTGAGATGAAACCGATTAACCCCTACTTTTTCTAATAGAGACAAGTTACTAAGATCAGCTCTTTTCCTTTCACTCTTTTTCGAGAAATTGAATCCCTACAGAATATTAAAGCACTGTTCTTGTTTCAAATGTCAAAACTGATCAATTGTCAAAACCTAGGTGATAGCAGTTCTATCACCTAGCGGGGTTCTAAATTCTATGAACCACCACACCACCAGCTCTTGCTGGTCTTCACTTAAGGTGTCATGCTAGATTTATATCACATTACTAGTTTTAGATGTCTAGGTACTTTTCATTAGCTGTCATTAGCTTGTTGTCTGAGTAAATATCACTTTACAATTCATATTAGCTCTGAGAAATAGGTTGCTCAGAGCCTGATGAGCACTGCTCCTTAATGTTGTCTCCAATGTGAAATGAGCCAGTATCTTCATCGTCAAAGAGATAAATTCATATACATATATCAAACCAGAGTGCACCTCATACTGATCCCATTTGACAAGTCAAGGACATCGAGATCTATCTAATTTTTAACAGAAATCATCTTGCAGATTTGCCCCATTTCAATGTAATCTTTCTGAATTGTAACTGTTAAAACTGGAATAATCAAGATTTAAACATGTTTTGCTGCTTTCGCAGGACATTACATGCGTGTGCATCTTTTAAAGCAAATCCAGAAATCTGTTTAACACAATCATGAGTTGCATATCTTTTGTTTTGTCAGTTATATTGTGGCAGTATTTATTTTTTTTCAATATTTCTTTTATCCTTTCAGACAAACCGGAAGTGAAGATCATGGTAGAGTTTCCTCAGGGTTTGACAAGAGAGGGAGAGAACCTGGCACTTGCATGTCAAGCCAAAGGCAAACCCCAGTAAGACACACTCACACACACTTAATTAAACGTAACTATGGGAAGTGAAAAGCAACTTTGACCTGCATGTTTCTACACTCGCCCACGAGCCAGAATTTCATTCCTCCATCTCATTCTGCTGGTGTGTGCCATTTCCTTTTATTGATTTGCTTATTTAATTATTCTTTTGTAAACCCTAACCCTAACCCCCTAAATATTTTTTGATAGTATTGAATAACATGTGTAACTGAATCACACTTGTAAAAAGACGGTCACTTGATAACACAAATCAGGATATCATACAAGTAGTAATACTTATCAGCTTTTAAAACTGAAACATAACATCAGTAAAAGCTTAGATCAACAAGAACTCGCTATTACATTTTTAGCCAAACAGTAGGAAGAGAATGGCAAATGTCCATTGTGACTGCTTCCAAAAGAAGGTAAGTGGCAGCCATGAGCTGCTTATCAAATTCAGGAGACAGAACTGGTGTTGATGGCATTGCATTTAGATAGAACCAGACACAACAAATCAACACAAAAAAAACAACATATGTGGGGGGGGGGATGTATGATTTGGGGTTATTTTGCAACCGTGCCTGTTGGCTTTTTCCATCAGGCGTCATGACAGTACATCAGCCTCGACTTGCATTGCAGGTTTTGGCCCGCGTTTTTACGCTAGATGCCCTTACCAATGCAACCCTTGTATTTATCTTGAAGCCAGCACAAATGCAGAATACTGGACTCCAGTTGAGGCCGCATTCCAGGGCAACTGCTCTTACCCCTGAGCACTGCCTATCTTTATTTTATTTTATTTTCTGGAAAACTTTATCATCAAACCTCTAATCCACAAGCTGCAGAATATGGCAATGTCACAGTTCATAAAGGATGAGGAATTGACACTGTATCTATGTGTTTGTTTACTAAGAATATATTGTATTGACTTTGTGTGCTTTCTCTGCTGACAGTTTGCAACAATGGTTTGCAACTATATGCATGGGTCCCTCCTTGTTTTTGTGTGCACAATGCAGCAGATATTTTTATGTGATTTTTTTTTATAAAGGGGCCCAATATGACAATTAAACTATTTTACTGGTAAAAGATAATCCTGGAATGCATTCCACTGGCAAAATAAATGTAGAGCAATCTATTTCAAGCAATGCTTGAGAATCTGGCTGTATTTGTTCCCCTTTTCCACCCCAACAGATTTAGCAATCAATTAAATAATTAAAAACAAACCTCGTTCTGAACCCCGCTATACATGTGAATTCACTGTCATGCTAAAGAATCTGACAATTCAGATCACAAAAATTTGGAATTTAAATGAACATGGGTAGGAAGATGTCACAGGCCATATGTTACATTGCAATATAAAATATTTAACAGTGCTGTGCGTTGTAGTCAGAAACCTTCCCGCGTTTTGGCATTAAATTTCAAATTTGCTTTAACATTCTCAGATTTCCTGTCTTTGCAGAGCAGAGACTAAAGTTATTTTTTTTTAAAGTGACAGAGCCAAGAAAAAAATGCAACACACAGTATTCATGTCATCTAGGTCTCTTATGCATCAAGCATCCATTTTTCCCACCTTAAATCTTTTGCAAAAAGAGTTTACTTTGTGTCAAAAGTTTATTTTTATGGCAAAAGCTGGTTGTTGTCTAGTTGGGTGACCTGGTACTGCACCAAACAGTGTCATGCTAGGTTGGAAACTAGAGTTGTGACTCCATTATCTCAGCTTCCAGGGGCTGCAGGGAAGTTTCAGGCCCAGAAAAGTGCAAAACAATAGTTGGTATACGAGTCAGAGATACATAGTTTCAAAAGTTAGAAAAAAGGGTTCTTTTGCTTGTTTTTTTTCTGTGACTGAACTCCAGTACTAAGCTATGTCTGGAATGTTCAAGCTTTTCCAATAATTTCTCCAACCCTTAATGGTCCTCCTTTATTTACAGCTTATATTAGTTCCACCAGTTTGCTGGATAGCTTTCTACTTTTTAATGTTGTATCAAAATCAGGAGCATTTACTCTACTTACAATGCTGGCCCAGTTTATGCATAAAACCATTTAAGAATATTGAAGTACTAAATATTCCACAGTTCATTTACAAGTTATTGATCTGTAGATGAACCAGGAGTGGTACACACATATGAGAAGTACAATTCTTCATTGCTCTAATTTGTAGCTCCCAGCTCAATTTTTTTGTGAGAAAATAAAAAAGTAAGTGATCCATAAGTGTCATGATGGGTTCGATGCTCTAGCCCACACGCAGAACACAACACAGGAAGCACTGATCAGGCGAAGGATGTTTATTGCAACGGAGGGAAGGCGGTTCCGGAAAGGAGGGCTCTGAGAGCGGTCGGGGAACGGGCTTACTTGGGGTTGACAGTTCGGTGGTAGGAAACGGCTGGGGAAGCCGGCGGGGGAAACAGAGCGGCTCGGGTCCAACAGGTGTCGGGGGGGGGGGCGGTGACGCCAGCGCTCGGGTCCTCGGGTGGATTGGGAGACTCGGGCAGCCTGGGGAAAGTCCAGGTCCTCTGGGCAAGGCACCTGGCGGCGGGGAGCAGGAGAGTAAATCACTCAGTTTGTCACACTAGAAAACACAAGAGACTGGCTCAAGCGGCTCGGAGTTACCATTACTGGCTAACACTCAGGCGTCGAAGATCTGGCAGTCTGCTCCTTAAATACTGCCAGGTGGGTCTTCTTAATTGGGACCAGGTGTGCTGGGAGGTGTCAGGTGAGATCGGGGATGTGCAGTTGGCCGCCTCTAGTGGCGGAATGGTGAGTGGAAAGTGCAGTGCGGATCAGTGAACCCCGGACTATGACAATAAGATCGTTGGCCTGATAGTAACTGGGCCCAAACATACCTTACATTTTGAGAGTAGATATTTCACAACCACTCAATATAATTGCCTAAACTTCCCTTTTCAGAACTTACAAAAAGAACATTTGAAAACCGATCAGTAATTATAAAATACAACAGAATGGCTAAATTATGATTTCTTTAGTTTCTGATATCTGAAACGAAAAGAACAGAGCAGAGAAGGACATTGAAATTTGCAAGACAAGTGTTGCAGGAAGAATTTTCTAAGGGAGAGGTACTGTATATATAATATAATTAAGAATGCTATTCTTAATTATCAGTGCAAATATTCTTAAGCTTTCTGTGTAGAATAAGACAATATGATGCATTTACAGTATTGAATGTGTGCTTCGGAAGTCAGTTTTGTTATTACACTTCAATTATTCTTTTGTACTGCACAACTCTAAGCATCTTGAGATAAGCTTTCCCACCTAGTTCCAAACTCAGAGGCTTTTATTAGTGCTAATCAATTCATAGAAATATGTTGCCCTATCATCTGAAAGATCTTGCTTGTTGCTCATACGACTGTGACTGTTTCTCATGTATCATTAGTTGGATGGCAAGTTTTTTGTGAGATGACATGCAATAATGTGTTAATGAATCCATTAAAGTGAACAGGGTTGTTTAAAAGAGTTAGAGCTTTCAGCATGATGGCTGATGAACTATGCAAACATTAACATACTGTAGTTGGTATTATTTGTATCCATCATATTAGTTTATGTACAAGGCAGTTCAGATTTAAACATCAGATCAGACCACAGTTGTGAAAACTTCATCACATGGAGTTACATACATATATATTGATACAATGATAAATACAATTTATAAATACAAAGAACTTAGTGGAGGACTAAAAAGCATTTTTATGATAAGGTGTTCTGAGAGGTTTGTAAGAAAAGAATACTTTATGAGCTTGGATTCACAATATTTTAATCACGTCAAGAATAAACAGTCTGTTGAACATAATAGGACTGAGAAGGTCGGCTTAAACTTTCCAGCGGCTCCTTCAGCATGACATTTTTTAAATATAACATGTTATTTTTTCTTCATAATTGTACTTTATCCAGACAAACACATATCCTTACGAATGACTGAGCAAGCCCAGACTGACTGTAAATAACCACACCGGCACATCTGATACAGACAGCAAACATGCTGTCAGGACCACCTTAGTTCTCTGAACTGACGTAAAATACACCTGTATGATGAATTCAGTTTTTTTTATTTAGAATCTATTTGTTTACATACCTACCTGTATGTCCTTGTTTTTTTCTTTTTCAAAGGATACATTTACAGACAACACAGTTAGCCTTGAGGTTCTGTGTACTGTCTTATGAATCATCGTTGGGTTTTATGAGATTTATTTATTTATTTATTCATTTTAGGTAATGCTATAATAAGTGTGTGGCTAATCAACTTCAAATGTGGCTAATTAAAATTCCTTGCAATTTACCACAGTGACTAAAAGCTTTTGAACCCCAGAGAGAACCCTGCTAATGGAATCTAATTGTGTTAGAGACTGCAGTCCCAAATACATGTGGAGCATACTGAAAAACTGTGGACATGTGATGGCCTTTTTTTTTTTTTTTACATTAAAGTGCTACTGATGACAACAGACATTCCTTTAGCCTGTAGACAAACATCAACTTAAAAAGGGAAAAAAAATATTTTCTTTCAATTTCCTAATGGGAATCTATTGGTACAAAAGATTGTATGAATTACAATCCTTTGAAACCAGTCCGGGTTCAAAAGTGGCCACTCCACTGAAATGGCTCTGCTGCATGTTACAGAAGCCTTAAAAATAATTTCAGAGCAGCAGCTAAGTCCCTCAGCATTCATCGTACTCGACTTGTCTGTTGCTTTTGACACAGTCATGACATCCTTTTGTCCATACTCTCTGTCATGGGTCATAGCTCACTGGTCAGTCATTCAGAGTATCCTGGCTTGGTCCTACTTCTGCAGCATCACCTAAGCCCAGGGGTCCCTAAAGTTCAGTACTAGGAGCTTATGTCTTTGCCACCTCTTTTACACCACTTCACCGGGCCAGATCATGTGATCACATGGCTTCTCATACCACTGCCGTGCTGGCGGTACCCAGCTCTATCTGTCATTCCCATCTGGCGACCACATTTTCTTAGCATGTATCTCAGTATGTCTGTCTGAAATATCAAAATGCATTAAAGCCCACTACCTCCAACTAAATCTCTCAAAAACCAAAATGCTTGTCGTCCCTTCCAAACCAAGCACCCACTACAGTATTTTCCTCCAAAGTGAATCTCTATCTCTTGCTCCATCAAAGGTAGCTTCAAACTTAGGTGTCATAATTGATGACCAGCTGATCTGTAAAGATAATATTCCCTCTGTTGCTCTTTCATGACGCTTTACATAACTAGACATAATAGATAACATAAGAAAGATCCAGCTGTACCTACCCTAACATGCCACCAGTTCCTTGTGCAGTCTATGGTCATCTCCCTCCTTGACTCCTGCAATTCTCAATTGGTCTCCTCACCTGTACTGTTGAAACTCTACAGAAGGTCCAGAATGCGGCAGATTATCTGGTCCTCGATAAGCCTGAAAAAAATTGTACGCCTCTTGCCTTGGCTCTTGGCTCCAGCCCCCCCGTGACCCTGCAAGAAATAATCAGTATAGATGATTGATGGGTGGACATTTAGCCTTTTTTCAAGTTTGCAGGTTTAAATATTGGAAATTTACTGAGTTTGTTAAACTAAGCTTTTTATTATTTCTAAAAAAAAAATTAATGTGCCATCCTCTGTTGGAGTTGGATAACTTATTACTTATTACTTACCATACTTATGTTCTGGACTGTAAAATTTAGATGCGATCCTCAACATTCCACTTCACTTTTGAAAATATCTTTTCATTCAGTCTAAAATTTTGTATGATTCTTTTGAAGTGCTTCTACACCAACACACAAATCCAATAAAGATCCCTCTCCAAAACTTGTTATACTCAGCATACACACAAGAGTTTTCGTCATATTCATTTTATGATGATGAAAACACAATCAATACAGTGAGACGGGAATTGGGAGTCATTTTCATTAGAGCTGCAGAGAGCTGTGCAGTCATTACCACCAGATAGCACAGAGGGCCCTGGCTGCAGCCATTTGTATTCTAGACACCTGCCCTTCCTCTCTCCTTGCAACCCCATCTTACCTCATTGGTCTATCTCTGTCGATCTCCCTTTTCAGTATTTTTTTTTTTCATTCTCACAATACCACTCCACCTATACATATATATATATATATATATATATATATATATATATATATATATATA